TCCCGCTGAGCAGAGAGCCCGATGCGGGGCTCGATCCCAGGACTCTGGGATCATGACCTGAGCCGAAGGCAGACTCTTAGCCCACTGAGCCACCCAGGCGCCCCTAGAAATGAATGTTAAATACATTTAGCTTGCTCTTAATATGTAATGTGATGACGTATTGTCCTCACCAAAGGAGGAAGCAAAGTCTTGAGCATGTAGGTTGGTGGGAAAGAGATGGCAGTCCTTCTAACTTCTACACCATTGTCTCCACTGACATCTTACTCTTCGAGGACGCACATGGTTATCTTCACTCGCACAGAATTTAAAAATAAATTATAGCTCAGAGAAACACCTCTGGTCTCTAAAGGGCTACAAACACACTCTGAAACACATGAAAGTTCAACACCTCTTAGAGAATGCTGCCCCCATCCCTCTCGCTTGCTGTATGCATGCCTGGAAATATTTGGTTTCTTCCCAAACTGTTGAGTGGAGCAAGTTGGCCGAGTGTCTTTGCCTGAAATTGTAGTATCAAAACAAACAAACACACACATTTTTGTAGCATATTTATTTAAGGTGTTCTGGATGAAAAGTTCATTATACTAAAAAAATAATGCATTATCTGAGATGTGTAACTGGTTTTTAAGAGAGTTCAAAGCAAAAGGTGTTGGACAGGTAGTGCGTGTGGTGGGTCTTTGCTGGCGACGTTGGGTCTGGGTGTGTTTCTGGTCTGATGCACAGCGCATCTCCTCTCTTTCACAGATACGTCTTCTGGCTCGGAAGACGAAGGCTCGGTGCAGGGTGACTCCCAGGGGACCCCCACCTCCAGCCAGGGCAGCATCAACATGGAGCACTGGATCAGCCAGGCCATCCACGGCTCCACCACCTCCACGACCTCTTCCTCTTCTACCCAAAGTGGGGGGAGCGGCGCCGCCCACAGGCTGGCCGACGTCATGGCCCAGACGCACATAGGTGAGTACCTCGCTCTCCTCGGTGAGCAGGGGGCTTTAGTGGCTGTGCCCTTGACGTTTACGAATCCATCTGTGCATCTCGGCCATGGGATCCATTCGAAGGACAGCACGGAGCCCAGCTCCAACTCTGGCTGCTTTGCTGCTTTTGTGAAACCCTTAGTTTTGCTGGTTTTCAGCATTCCAATGTCTCTGACGGCTAGATTGTCAGGGGCTTTCTGCGCATAAAGGAAAGCACGCTCGTTCGTTAGGGCGCCGTGGAACCCTGTGTCTGCACGTTTTCTCCTCACACTAAAACATGCTTCTACGTGGAGTTTTAATGGTGCTGATAAACAAGGCAGGGGATTTTAAAGTGAATTTTCTATTACTTTGGGTATCGTTTGAGGAGGTGGGGGCCTTAATCGCTTCTGCTGTAGCCTGCTCTCCACCCTTGGTATTCAGAGTTCTTGGCTGGTGCGTGTTCTGTCCTCTGTGGGTTCTGTGATGAGTAAGATCCTCTCTATCGGAACAAGCACACAGTTAGGAAGCATTGCCTGAGGTGTTTGAAACTAGCGTGAAAAGGAGATTAAGTAAGAATTACCGGAGCAGAAGAGGGTGCATTGGATGAGCTGTGGTGCTGTCGGAATTGTGGGCAAAGAAGGGGCATGTCTTTCTGTCGCCACCGTGCCCGATGCTCCTTATGACCGGGAAGCGAGTCCTTGTCTGGTATGCAAGGGGCAGTGGGGCAAGTACGGCGTCCAGATCTCTGCTCGCCCATTTCAGCGATGGATTAAGACTCTTGAACTTCCCAGTAAAGATGGTTCACAGACTGAATTGCTTGCTTTGAATGTGGTGCCAGGATAGTTCAGGATGTCCCCATTCAAACCGCGACATGGACACAGGTCACCTCCCCACAGGACACGCACCCCTCACTGGGCCGCATGTACCCCTCGCCACACCAGACCTCATGTCTGCAGAAATCCCAAACTTAGGGAACAGGTAGAGATCGTACAAACATCTCAGACTCACAGGCTTTTGTTTCTAGATTATTAGCTACTTGAGAGAGGTCAGAGAAACGCAAACCACTTTTTTAGGACTTTGCCCCCGGAGCACTCACTCAAATGAAGTTGAAGTTAAATGCTTCAGCTTTGAACTTTGCTGATAAAAGAATCAGAGGTGAGCTCTTTCTTCTCCGGCAGAAACTAGTCGGGTCTCCGTTCCCACACGAACGGCTGCTGACATCTTCAGAAAACACTTCTTCCTGTTTCGTTTTTTAGTGGGGAAAAAAAGGAACAATGATTCTTTGCTTTGTACGTCTCAGAGCTGTGGTGAGTAAAAAGGAGGAAATGGGAAAATTCTCATCTTTTGGACAGTGATGGTCCAGTGCCAGGTGGCATTATCAGAGCTCAGTTTTACACCCATGAGTGACAGCAACACCGAGAGTCAGTTAAAAACTAAAGAGAGCTGTGTGGCTGTGACGTAGGTCAGCTTCATCTCGCGTGCGTTCCGGAGCCTGAGGTGGCATCCGGGCGGGTCATCCGGCACCTGTGTGGATGGTTAGATGTGGGGTGTGGGGTCCATCCTCGTCTGCCGCTCACTCCAGCCTGGGGAGCCTGTGTGCTCTGATTCTGTTCACTTTTAAGGAAGAATCAGAATCTTGCCAAGAGAAACCTATAATTCCAAACAAATTAATCACTGCCTTCGGTTCTCCCTTTGTGACGTTTCGTGTGAAATCCTGGAGGAAATTATAGCGTGGAGGATTAAATTTATCCAGACTATAAAAGGTGGCGTGACTCACGTGCCTCACGTCTCAAGGCAACCCGAACAGAGCCTACAGCGTCTGACGCTACAGTCATTCCTAATCGGGCACAAAGAGAAGTTCCTAGAATATCTGGAAATTTTCTGTAAATAGGAAAAATCTTGGAAGAAAGCAGTGGCAAAATACAATAGAACAGGGAATAAAGGAGAACGACAATTCCTCTGGCAGAGCAGAAGAGGTGAAGCTCGCACACCTGAGGCTGGGGTCTCCCTGCACAGCCTCTCACCCCCGAGAGCTCCCTGACCGCTGCACGGTCAGCATGCTTTCCCGTCAAAGGGCCGGAGAGTAAGTGACTTGGGCTTCGTGGGCCCAGTGGTGTCTCTGCAGCTGTTCCACCCTGCTCTCTAAAACAAAGGCATCTGTAAGCAGGTGGGCGTGTCCGTGTGGCAAAAAACTTTATTTATAAGAACAGGTGGCAGGCTGCCCCTGATCCACCACTGGCCACCTCCTGCTAGAGAGCTCTACACCAGGCTCCTGGGACAGCAGGGAAAGGCGGACGGTGAGTTAGCTCACCCCAGGCAACGCGGACACTCCACCATGGGTTACAGATTTCTTGGGGTTCCTTTGGTGATCCAGGACTGGCTTGAGAGCAGGACCCGCGGCAGCTACCCCGACTGGGGGGTTTTTAGTTAGGTCCTCATGCAGGCTTCTCACCCTGTGTCATCATGTTTAGTTGAGCGGGAAGCTGATCCCTGCAGAAACGCTCGGGGACGGGGAGTGAACGTCACTGCCCATCTGTGTCCATCTGCTTGAGGAACGTTCTCTAACCACTGACGCCTCTCCAGCTCAGACGTCATCCTGTCTCTCGCTACGTCTTCCTGTTTCCTTTTCTGGAGAGGGGTGCTCGCTCTTCTGAGGCCCATCCTTTCCTCTGATGCTGGCTCCCGGGAGGTCAGCTCTTCCCTCCCAGCTTGGGGTGTCACCGGCCGCTCACGGCCTCTGCTCACGGCCTGCACCACACGCCAGCGCCCCCCCCGGCACCGGGGCTCCTGTCCCGCCCTCTCTCTCCACGTTCTTGCTGACTTCGTGCACTCATGCGGTTTTCGAGGCCGCCTGCTCTTCACCGACACGCAGATCTGCATTTCCCACCATGAAATCCCTCACAGCCCCCATTTCAGAGCACCTCCCAACACTGCACATGGGTCCCCCGTACCCCGAGACCAGCCTGTCGAAGAGGCTGTCCTCCCAGGAGCAGGCTTGAGAGCCAAGCGCCGTGGCTCCTTGTCCCCATCACCCTCGTGCATCCACGTCTGGGTGTTCGGCTGCCACACGTGTTGCAAGAAGCCTTGTTCCTCTCCGAGACTGTCCCCAGACCCCCACCTCCCTTCTGGACTGTCTCAGGCCCTTATTCCCTCACGTCCTTGCCTTTCTAGTTGTTCTGAGCCCTGCTGCTCCTTCAGCACTGTTAGGACACAGGTCCACTCCTGTCTCTTCCCAGAAATGCTCCTGCGATTTTCACCTCTCAGCACTCGCTTCTTTGGATTTTATACGTAGACTCAAAGTAATGACTTTTGCATCCAGAAGTGTCTCAACTCCTCCTCCTCCATGCGCCCCATACCACAGGGGCACCTCACTGGCCTGCACACTCACACCCTGGTGCACACCGGAGACACGCATCTGTTTAGTTCTGCCGTTTGTGACATTTAAATGCATTTAACTCGGAAAGTAGTAACAGAGTCATTTACACCTTTATGCACATGAGTTTCACAGATTCTCTCTTGGAGCTTCTAAGAGGGTCCTCGCATACAGGGAGAAAAGGCGGAGGGAAGCCTGCAGGCCTGGGTGCCGGCCCGAGGGTAAGCACACCCTAGCCAGGGCGTCAGGGCGCCCTGTCATGTAGTTCCTTCAGCCCGGTGAGGGCTCACCACCGCTTGTTCTGCAGGGGGGAGACTGAGGCCCAGGAATGTTGGCGTGAGGCCACAGGTGCCCAGCGGGTCAGTGGTCAGCAGGACCTGACAGACCTGTGGGATGCAGGAGCACCAGCTCGTCACAACGGAAGGGAGCTCCTTTCCAGACAAAAGCTCAGTTACACCTTGCATTAACAACAAAGACTTCATTGTCCCCAGCACCCACCCCCCCCACAGGGTCTGTGGTCTGTGGAGGTGTTGGGACAGTTGGAGCCTGTCATCAGGAATTTGAACTTGAGGATATAAAAATCAAGAGGCTCTTGTTCGAAGTCGAAGGTTCCTGTTCTGATATTGGCACATACTTCCTAAGACCTGTCTGACCGTTGCTGTCCTATCTTCATGGGATCACATGGCATCAGTGTGGGAGGGCAGAGAACCTGGCGATCCTCCTAAAGTCACCCCTGACTCAGAACTTTGGCCGGAGAAATGTTGGTGCATAGAACCACCTAGCCCTCTTGCAACCACCTCTAGCGGCGGTCTGTGGATGGTCCGCCTGAAATGTGAAAGGCCAGTGTGGATCACCACCAGCAGTAACGGGTTAGGCCGACGGCTGGTGAGACTCGGGGCAGGTCCTCTCTCTGGATCGGCTGTGCTGAGGATGGACCCGAGCAGGGAGCCGTCAGGCACAGGCCCCCGCAGAGTGGATGTTCTGACCCCTCCGAGGCCAGCTCCTTCCAAGAAGGTCACGTCTGGCTCACCTCCATGACTCCATCGAGGAGCCTGCTTTTCCACCCCCACAGGGAAGGTGTGCGAGCCAGAGCAGCTGGGCACGCAGGGTGGTCTGGGGTGTAACAGGGAGCCCATTTTCCGCTTCCTCGTCAGTGCTAACGGAGGTCCAGGTGACTACAGGGACTCGGGGTGTGGGGCATTCTGCATGAGCGAAGCTCGGTTTCCCCTGAATGCATTGCTTGTGACCCATGTCCGTCAGTGGGCCATGAGCACATGTACATTTACATTTACATTTCTACATGTAAAAGCCGGATTTCCTACTGTTCCCTCAGAAGTTATTTGGGGACTGAGAAGTAACTAACATGGCTTTAAAGTGGAATCTGTCACCACTTACCCTAGGTATCCCCACCATACAGTCAGAATTAAAGCTGCTTTTCAGCCGGTGTTGGAATATCTGTGGTTGTCGAAGTGTTGCTTTATTTATTCTGTGTTCATTCATTCTTCAGACCGTTTCTCCAACATGGGCTGAGCGCTGATGCCGTGGGCTGGTTGGAGTCACTTCAGTGTCTGAGTAGGACCCGGGGAGCCACACAGAGCTGGAGACGTAGGTCAGGAAGCAGGGGGTTTCCAGGTTCAGCCAGGAGACCAGCCTGCAGCCTGAGACAGTCTTGGCCAGAAACCGCTGTCCAGGTGGGGTGGAGACCAGGGCATTGCTGGCAAGAACACCCCGGGGGTGTCCGAGGAGTGAGCTGGACCCCTGCTACCGGGTCATAAGGGCGGCTGAACTGCGCCCCCTTCCGCCTCCTTCCCTCCCTCCCCACACCTGTGCCATCTTGAGTTGCAGATTCTGGAGGAACCATCAGCTGCTGGGAGCAAAGTCATATAGCATCAATGACACAAGACCCACCTGTGGGGGCAGCTCTGGGGGGTTCTCAGTGGAGGAGGTGACCCTTAACAGGTGGCTGGAGGGTAGCCACCATTTTTTTCTTGATTTTAAAAGGACTGGGAACTGATACAAGAACCAGTGTGCTCACTTGCTCAGAAGATACAGACTGGCCCTGAGGATGTCAAGGTGGTCCTGGCACACGTGACCATCCGTGGCTTACACCGGGAGCTGATGAGCAGGTGCTCCTGCCACACGTGGCCATTGGTGGCTCACGCCGGGAGCTGATGAGCTGGTGCTCCTGGCACACGTGGCTGTCCGTGGCTCACGTGGGGAGCTGATGAGCAGGTGCTCCTGGCACACGTGACTGTCCGTGGTTCACGCCAGGAGCTGATGAGCATTACAGCCCTTTGAGCCATGCCTCCAGCCTGAGTCCACTGTTCTTGCCCATCAACAAGTGTTTCTTGAGCATCTGTTACATGTGAGCTTCTTTCAGAGTTGAATACGTGGAGTCCCTATCTTCATCAGAATAGGGCATGGCGTGTCTCGCAGCGGCACTGGCCTCTGGCGCCCCAACAGAAGCCAGCGGTGAGGGGAGCGACCCCACAGTGGAGGAAAGGGGACACACACACATCAGTAAATTTGGAAGGCACTTTGAGGTCCCCCAGCTGTCACTGTTACCATTTTTCCACCACCAGATGTATCAGAATCATTCTTCCCCCAGCGTCAGAGCGGAGCATTCCCAGCACAAACCCCAATGGGCAGCCACCGGTGACGCGGCCACGGCGTAACCGAAACACAAGTGAATCTGAATAAATGCGCAGCGCCGTGAGCTCCCATTTCAGCTGCCTTGTTACGGTGGCGGGCTGATGTCTTGCTCACGATGCATCTCCGTCTGCTGTGTCCTCACGTGAAGTAGGAGACCCCAGCAGGTGCACCACTTAGCCACAGAGAAGCAGGTCACGTTTCTCTGTGGAGTGAAGCACGTGTGGCAGAAGCATGCGTAGGGCTGACGAAGAGGGTGGAAACCGAGTCTCAGACATGGAAGAGAGACCCCGGCTGCGTGTCCCTTGGTGACCGGACAGAGCGGCCTCCCTTGCCCTTCTGAGAGGGGTTCCTTCCTGAGCTGAGGTCGAGGAAATTGCCCTCGTGGGGTGTGAGTCCGCTCAAGCCGCTCTCACTGAGCACCCGGTCTGGGGCTTAAACAACAGAGATTCTCATTCCACGTCCTGGGGGCTGGGAGCCTGAGGTGCAGGCGTGCTCAGGGCTGGGGTCTCCCGAGGCTTCTGTCCTGGGCGTGCAGACACCGTCCCTCCCTGGGTCCTCACATGGCCGTCCCTCTGCACATGTCTGTGTCCTGATCTCCTTAATGAGGACCCCAGTTACATGGGGTTAGGGTGGCCCTAGTGACCTCTGCACAGACCCGTCTGAGGTCCTGGGGGTGAGGACTTGCACGGGTGACCTGTGAGGGGACACAGCGTGGCTCACACCAGGGCAGATACACAGGGAACCCAGCCATCTGCTGAGGGCCTACGGCTAGGACTCTGGTGCTCCCATGTGCTGCACGGAGACCCCGGGGGAGACCCCGCAGCTGCTGCTGCAGGGGTTCTGCTCCCGCCTCGCTCACACCGTGCTGTGGCCACGGTCTCTCCTGCAGCGGATGTCTCTGCACCCAACAGTAACATTGCTCAGGTGCTTACTTATATCGACCACCTTAAGGTCGGTGCCGTCGTTATGATCTGCATCTTACAGAAAAGGAAGCCGAAGCACAGACAGGTGAGTAACAGGTCGCAGGGGAGCAACTATGAGCAGGGGACCAGGCACCAAACCGGGGGACGCTGGCAGCCCCAGCCCCCGTGTGTGTCCATGTGCCCGCTGGGTCTGGTGCCTGGGACCATGCAGGCACGGCTCGCTGCATGGGATACGGCACTGATACACATATAGACACGTGTTTGGAATGGTCACTTAGTATCATGTGTGCTAAAACAAATAGAACAGCTCACAGCTCTTGGATCCTTACCCTCTGTCACAAAATGTGCTAAGAGCCTTACGTATGTTTCATTCATTTACTGCACCCTGCAGGGGACCGGCCATGTTAGTCCCATTTGGGGAGGAGGACACTGAGGCACGAGAGGCTAAGACGCTCCCCACAAGTTGGGGGGACACGCAGAGCCAGGATGCAGACCCCAGAATCTACCTGCAGAGCTTGAGCTCTTCTCTGCCTCTGTTACAACAAACGAGAAAATTACTCTTTTATGAACAAATGCGTAACTTACAATGTCTCTGTTTCCACGGGCAGTTTGAGAACATTATTTTAGTTAATGCACTGCAGTGCTTCATCGATGTGACTCCCGCTGTAATTTTATGTCAGGAGGGGTACCAGCCTTGGTTCCGTTTTGAGCAGCGTACATTACCTTAAAGATAATCCTTATGCCGAGACTTGCAGTGGACATGGACTCAGACTCTTGGTCTTCTCTTGGGACGTGGCAGTTTGTGAAACCCCGTGGCTCACTTACCCTTCAGAATAACTCGGTCGTGATGATCAGAAAACTTGTGATTTGCTTCTTTCTAGAAAATCACTCTGCACCTCCTGACGTGACCACTTACACCTCAGAACACCCAATACAAGTAGAAAGGCCGCAGGGCTCGACGACATCGCGGACGGCACCCAAGTACGGCAACGCGGAGCTCATGGAGACGGGCGATGGTAGGTCTCCTGGGGTCACGGCGACTCCTTTGTAATCCCCGTCCCTGCAACCCGCCCTTCCGTGCGCAGGGGCGGAGGTTTCCTGTGGGTACACAGTGGACTGTGATCTGTCACCTAGCTCCCACGGAAGGTGGCGTGGACACAAGAAATGCAAAGTATCTCCACGTGTTTCCATGTCGGAAAAAACATCAGTGTGGTGGGAATTTAGTCTTGAGAAGAAGCAGATGTTTTATAAGATTTTGATGTGCTTGCTACTTGTTAACAAATGTTGGTTCAGCAATTAAGAAATTAGCGTGGAAGTGTTAAGACCGTGAGTGGTTGGCAGAAGGGCAGCGTGAAGTTAAATGTAAAACAAAACAATCGGCAGGTATGGGCTAGTGTGGTGCTTTAGACTGTGGAAGATGTGACTTTCGTGAAAATGGTCAGCATGGCCGTGTTGTGCCGTCCATCCCACTGGGCACGTGTCCCTCATCACGGTCCGCGAGCCGCCCCTGTTTGCAGCATGACTGCTCTGCCTGGAAGACGTGGTTGTCTGCGTGTCTGAGCACCTTTCCGCGGAATGAGACGTGTCTGCAGAGGACACACTTCTTCCCCTTGAGGATGTCAGCACCCTGGTGCTCCTTGTAGTCATTAACTTGGGTTGTTCATGCCTTTTTCAACAATCATGTCATTTATTCTCAAAATGATGTCATTCATTGTTATAAATAAGAGCTATATTGTTATAAAATGGAGTTTGTACACAGGAATAGATGCTACGGGCTAGTATTCTGTGTTATGCAAAAAACTGAATTTAGAGTGCATTTAAATTGTGCTCCGGGATGCATTGCCTAAACGTGCACTCGTGGGTGGGACTGAAAGACACGTAGGAGGGCGCTGGGTACCCGTGAGGAGAGAGGACGGGCCCTCCACGGACCTTGAGTGCCCGCACTTTTGTCAGGAGGTGCAGGGACAGTGCCTGACAGGGGCCTGCCATCCCCCTGAATTTGACGTGTCTGGCAGACTGCTCTGGCCCCACAGGGGAGCACCGGTGGTCTCAGGCCTCGGGGCCTCGGGGAGGGTCTCCCTGCTGTGTGGGGTCTCTGACCCCCGTTGGAGCAGGGACCTGAGTCTGTGAATGAAGAGGGACAGATCTGTTTCAGGAACGGGAGGTGGGACGGGGCCAGCCTGAGTCTGACACCCCTCCCACCACCACGACGGATGACGGATAGAGTGGTCACGGAGTGTCGTTCCTGGGGCCCCTGCAGCCCCCGGGGCCTGCTGTCCTCCCAGGGGCAAGCTCTCACAGTGTGGGGTGTCCTGGGCGGCACTCGAGGTGGGGCCACGGCACCAGCGTCACGGTCGCTTGGTCTGTGGGTGAGGTGCTGACCGTCCCTTCATCAGACCATCCGTGGTTCTGTCTTCCAGGGGTGCCCGTAAGTAGCCGGGTGTCGGCGAAAATCCAACAGCTTGTCAACACCCTCAAGCGACCAAAGCGGCCGCCGTTACGGGAGTTCTTTGTCGATGACTTTGAAGAACTGCTGGAAGGTGACGGGCCCTTTGCCACCCCATTCTCCCCGTGTCCGCGTGACCCCACAGACCGTCGTGGCGGGCCCCGTTAAGATCAGCAGTCTCGGCATTCCCCGGAAGACAGGACTCTTATCTGGAGACTGTGGGCCCTGTTCCCCGCCCGCAGACGGGCCGAGTGCAGGCAGGCTGGGTAGACACCCAGGGCACGCGTGTGCGGGGCCCTCGCACACTGGGATGTCGCCCCATGAGCCGGGCCTCCGTCAGGCAGCACAGCCAGATGTGGCTCCTGGCCACGCGCTCTCTCTGAGGAACGCGGACTGGGTGTGTGGGCGTGTGGCTGGCTCCTTCTCCTGCCCTCTGTACACGTTCACAAGCCTTTGAACATAAAGTCAAGACAAAGTCATGCTTGCCACGTCCAACCCAGACCCTTTGTACCACAAGTAAGACACAGCTGACTGTCTAGCCAGCAGGTGGAGAGTGTCAGTCACGAACGGGGAAGGGGAGAAGCCTTCTGCAGTTGCTCACGTCAGCAGAAGAGTCGTAATGCAATTTATCATTGCTTTACGGGGCACTTACTTTTGTTTTACTCTAGAAAACGTGCTCTGTGCTAGTTATTCAGAGTATGCATTGCAAATTCACATTTACATGTCAGTGTTTAAGGCAATACGGTTTAGCAGGATTTGAGCTCTGGAGTCCAGAATCACGAGTGTTGATCAATAATTAATATTTTAAACAGAGCCTTTGCTATTCCCGACTCCAAGCATGTTAAAATATCCAGTGCCCGCGTCCGTTTACAGATGCACTCAGGTCTCCCTCTGTTCACCATCCCAGTATTGTCTTGGACAGCGTAAGAATTCAGTGCTTCCCCTCTATCCCTGAGGCCAGTATGTGCATCCTGGCTCTGATTCTAGAAAAGCGTGCATGCGTGCTTTCTGTCTGCTAGTAAACTGGTGTCAGTTTTTAAAAAGAAGAAAAAAGGTGACTGCGCTGATAGGGATGTTCTTTTCTTGAAAACTCTTTGTGTTTGAATGCACGTAGTTCAACAACCAGATCCGAACCAGCCCAAGCCAGAGGGAGCACAGATGTTGGCCATGCGCGGGGAGCAGCTGGGAGTGGTCACCAACTGGCCCCCGTCCCTGGAAGCCGCGTTGCAGCGATGGGGGACCATCTCCCCGAAGGCCCCGTGCTTGACCACGATGGACACGAATGGGAAGCCCCTGTACATCCTCACTTACGGTAATTCTCTGCGCTTCCTTCACTGTCCTCTGGGCCCAGCGGCCACTCCCTTGCACCCCCTTCCACGTCCGGCACACACACAAATGGGACTCTGGAAGGAAATGTTTTAGGAACGTATTTAGTTTGAATACGGAAAGTTATTACTTGCTAAATGTTCCCTGAGTAAAAGCCAGAGATGGGTACAAGAAATCAGTGGGTCACAACCCTAACGAGATGTTGGATTTTACGTCTGGGAATGTGTCTGATATTCTCAAAAGTCGTGCCTTCAGGAATGATGGGCAGTTAAAGAATTCGTGTCTAAACCCTGTGACATGGACCCCTCGGAAAAGACCATGTCTTTCCAAAGTGATTATGCAAAAAAGCAAGAGAAACGGGCTTTTCTCTAGTTCTTCATTCAGCACAATTACTGGAATCTCTACACTTCTGGAAATAGTCGACTGTCCCTGGGCAAGGGGCCGTGGAGAAAGCACATTGTCAGGTTGGTTTGCAAAGAAACCAGCTGGTAACTAAAAGACCAAAACGGCTCGTGTTGCATCTGCCTGTGTGAGATGAGATGACCTTTGTCTAGATCTCAGTTTTGTTTTTGTAACCGGAGCATGCTCTTACCAGCAGTAGGAACGACACGGATTTCTGCCTTGGCAGAGTCCAGCTCAAGGAGCAGATGTTACATTAAATGATGCAGAGCCAGCCTTTCGGGTGCTGGGCCCCGGGTGGTACCAGCCCAGACTGAGTCATTACCCCGGGCCTCCCCGGCAGAGATGGGTTGTGAGGTTCAGGAGCATGCGTCTCACAGCTTCATCATTTTAGGGCATGTTTGGGTAGTTCTTTTAAGATTTTATTTATTTGAGGGAAAGGGAGAGAGCACAAGCAGGGGGAGCGGCAGAGGGAGAGGGAGAAGCAGGCCCCCTGTTGAGCAGGGAGCCCGATGCGGGGCTCGATCCCAGGACCCTGGGATCATGACCTGAGCCGAAGTCAGATGCCAACCGACTGAGCCACCCAGGTGCCCCACTTTGGGGTAATTCTAAGTGGATAAAGAGCATTTCACCCAGGATGAGGCATAAGCTTGATTTTTTCATTATACTCTTTGGAGATAGGTTTTCTTCAGTGAAGTAGATGAAGACTTTCCTTCGTGACCCTCATCCCTTGCCAGATGCAGCCTGGGAGCTGGTGTGTAGTTGGGATAGCTGCTTTTTAGCTGAATCCTCTGCAGGCTCGCCTGCCACATACGGGGACTCTCGGACCCGCCTGTACGCACACACAGCGGCACTCACCTGTCAGCCCATGAGCGTTCAGTGGGGTGTGGCTCGGTGCCACAGCAGGTCATCAAAGATGAGACATGATTCCCCGGGCTGAGATCTAGATCAGAAGGACAGCCCTCGACTGAGGGAGCGCTGACTTTCCCTTCTTGCAAGGTTACGAGGAACCGAAGTGTAAGATGCAGACCGAAAGTTATCTGTGAAAATTTGGGACATGTTGTCTACACCCAGGCATCACAACTCCTGCATTTAAATCATCTATATTTTATTGCATTTTAGTCTTCTAGATTAGGCATATGCTCTGGGTCAACCTTGGTTTTTACTTGTTAAAGGAATGTAAGAAAGCAATGCATTTCCAAAAAGCAGATAATAGTTTATCAGGCTGTAAAAGGGAAGTGTTGGCTAATACAAGAAAAAGTGTGGAAAAGTGCTTTATATATATTTCAGTGCTTTATAGAAACATTGAAATAGATGAGCCTATAATCATTGGGTGTTGCTTCAAAGACACAGAGAGAAGTTCACTGAATAAGATTATTCTAATACCACGTAGCTCCAGACGATTTTCAGTATTGCAGTTAACCGTCAGCTCTCAAGTTCAGCTTCCTGCAAAGCCCCGGGTAGCAGAACTCCCAGATGAGAAACTTGGGATCTTTGACAGGAAATACACATGGTGGGTGAAGGTTGTCAACAACCCTGTAGAAACATCTTCTGTTCTCCATTTACCAATATAAATAATATGCACACTGAGGAGAACCAGGGCATTTCATCATCTTCAATTAATAAAAATAAATCATGCTAAGGAACTCCTTTCCTTCCATCATGATTCTCTGCTTCGTCCCGTTCTCGACGAGATACCTGCAAGTTCATTCTGCTTTGCTGCAGTATGCTTTTACTACCAGGCAGCCTCCCCCCTCCCCATCCCTCCCTCCCTCTTTTTTCTTCCTTCTTCCTTCCTTTTATGATCTATGACTTGGCTTTTGCTCCAGATCTTTTGGAACATTTAGATGCTTGAGCTCCAACAGCACTGGGGAGCCTTTCTCTGTCTTTTTGTGTTTTGTGTTGTTGGTGATGAGTTTCCCGGACTGTCTCTGCAGTGCGTAGGTGTCCTAGCTGCTGGGCGGCGTGTGAGGTCTGACAACCCTTCCTCACCCACCTGCCACCGTCCTCAGAGCTACACTCTTCTTACAGGTGGATGCTCCTCACAGAAATCCAACTGAAATTAAATATGTAATAAGACAGTGCATACGTCCTGTCCACATCTCTCTTCTTTTCTGTATGCACACGACTATCGTAGAGTCTCAGTATCTGTTTTCCCAGTTCAACTTGCCAAAATCTGTTGGAACTTCATGTCCAATTCCCATGTTTCAAATAGACAACAGAGTATTATTGTTAACTAGTGTTTACCACAGTCACCATCCTATATGTTACACCTCATGACTTATTTTATAACTGGAGGTTTGTACCTTTGCCCCCCTTCACCCATTTCTCCCTCCCATCCCCCACCTCTGGAAGAGCCCATCTGTTCTCTGTGTCTGTGAGCTTGGTTTCTAGAGTCTACAAATAAGTGAGATCATAAGGTATTTGTTTTTCTCTGTCTTACCTCTTTCACTTAGCATAATGCCTTCAAGTCCATCCATGGTCTCACACATGGAGAGATTTCATTCCTTATTATGGCTGAGTAGTATTCCATTGTATACATATACCACATGCCCTTTATCCACCCACCCCTTGAGGGACACTTGGGTTGCTTCCATATCTTGGCTACTGTAAATAATGCTGCAGTGAACAGGGGGTGCAGATATCTTTTTAAGTTAGTGTTTTTATTTGCTTTGGATATACCTAGAAGTGGGATTGCTGGATCACAGGGTACTTCTATTTTTAAGTTCTTGAGGAACCTCCATACTGTTTTCCAGAGTGGCTGCACCAGTTTGTATTCCCACCGACAGTGCACGAGGTTCCCCTTTCCCCACATCTTCACCTGCATTTGTTATCTCTTGTCTTTTTGATACCAGCCGTTCTGACAGGTGTGAGGTGGTCTCTCAGTGATTTTGATTTAATCTGCCTGATGATAAGTGATGTTGAGCATCTCTTCATATGCCTCTTGGCCATCTGGATGCCTTCTTTGGAAAAATGTCTATTCAGTCCCTCTGCCCATTTTTAAATCAGATTGTTTTTTTGCTATTGAGTTGTAGGAGTTCTTTATATATTTTAGGTATTAAACCCTAATTGGACAAATAATTTGCAAATATCTGTAATTTGCTTTTTCATTGTCCTGATTGTTTCCTTTGCTGTGCAAGAGGTTTTTAGTTTAATGTGGTCCCACTTGCTTATTTTTGCTTTTGGTGTCAGATCCAAAAAAAATCACTAAGACTGATACTGAGTAGCTTAGCATCTATATTTTCTTCTAGGAGTTTTATGGTTTCAAGTCTTCAAGTTTTTCATTCATTTTGAATTAATTTTTATGTATGGTGTAAGATAGTGGTTTAGTTTCCTTCTGGTACATGTGGCGTCCAGTTTTCCCACTGCCATTTATTTTTATTGAAGGGACTCCTTTTCCCCCATTGTGTATTCTTCCCTCCTTAATTGACCATATAAGAATGGGTTTATTTCTGGGCTCTCTGTTCCACTCATCTGTCTGTTTAATGCCAATACCACACTGTTTTAATTACCTTAGCTTTGTAATATAGTCTAAAATCAAGGAGCTGGGTGCCCCGAGCTTTGCTGTTCTTACTCAAGGTTGTTTTGGCTTTTTGGGGTCTTTTGTGGTTCTGTACAAATGTTAAAATTCTTTGTTCTAGTTCTGTGAAAAAATTTTTATATCGATGGCACTGAATCTGTAGATTGCTTTGGGTAATATGGACATTTAACAATATTATTTCTCCCAGTCCATGAGCATGGGATATCTTCACATTTATTCCTGTCTTCCTCAACTTCTTTCATCAATGTCATATCATTTTCAGTGTATACGTCTTTCCCCTCCTTGGTTAAAATTATTCCTAGCTGTTTTATTCTTTTTGATGCAACTATAAATGTTTTCTTAATTTCTCTGATAGTTCACTGTATACAATTTTTGTATATTGATTTTGCACTCTGCAGCTTTATTCAATTCATTGATTAGGTCTAACAGTTTGGTTGTGGGTTTTTTGGTTTTGTTTTGTTTGGTTTTGGTTTTGGTGGCATCTTTAGGATTTTCTATATATAAAATTATGTAATCCTGGGGCACCTAGGTGGCTCAGTTGTTAAGCATCTGCCTTCAGCTCAAGTCATGATCCCAGGATCCTGGGATTGAGCCCCGCGTCAGGCTCCCTGCTTGGCAGGAAGCCTGCTTCTCCCTCTCCCACTCCCCCTGCTTGTGTTCCCTCTCTCGCTGTGTCTCTCTCTGTCAAATAAATAAATAAAATCTTAAAAAAAAATAAAATAAAATTACATAATCCTCAAAGAGAGATAGTTTTACTTTTTCCTTTCCAATATAGATACCTTTTATGTCTTTTTCTTGCCTAATTACTCTGGCTAGGACTTCCAATACTATGTTGAATAAAAGTGGTGAGATTGGGCATCCTTGTCTTGTTCCTGGTTTCAGAGTATATTAGCTGTGGGCTTGTAATATACGGGCTTTATTATACTGAGGTATGTTCCCTCTATATTCACTTTGTTGAGAGTTTCTCATCAAAAAAGATGTTGAATTTTGTTAAATGCTTTTTCTGCATGTATGGACATAGGATTTTTATTCATTTTGTTAACGTGATGTATCATGTTGATTGATTTGTCAATGTTGGACCATGCATGTGTCCCTGGAATAAATCCCACTTGATCATGATATGTGATCCTTTTAATGTATTGTTGAATTCGGTTTGCTAGTATTTTGTTGAAGAATTTTGCATCTATATGTATCAAGAATATGGGCCTGGGTTTTTGTTTGTTTGTTTATTTGTTTTTTGGGTTTTTTTTTTTCTTTTGTGGTGTCCTTGTCTGGTTTTGGTATCAGGGTAATGCTGGCTTCATAAAATGAGTTTGGAATCGTTCCCTTCTCTCACTTTTTTTTTTTGTTTTTTTGAAGAGTTTGAGGAGGATAGGTATTAAATCTTTGACTGTTAGAATTCACCAGGAAAGCCATCTGTTTGTGGACTTCTATTTGTAGGGAGGTTTTTAATTACTGATTAAATCTCCTTACTAGTAATCGTTCTATTCAGATTTTATGTTTCCTCATGGTTCCTCATGTCTATTCCTCATGGTTGTCTTTCTATTGTCTTTCTAGTCTCTATTTCATGTGGCTCTGCTCTGATCTTTGTTATTTCCTTCTTTTAACTAACTTGGATTTCATTTGTTTTTTTTCCTACTTCCTACCAACCTTGAGGTGTAAGGTTAGGTGTAAGGTTGTTTATTGGAGATTTTTCTTGTTTCTTGAGGCAGGTCTGTATTGCCAAGTACTTCCATCTTAAATCTACTTTTGCTGCAAATTGTAGGTTTGGGTATGTTGTATTTTCATTTGTCTAAAGGTGTTTTTTTTATTTCTTCTTTGATTTCTTTGTTGACCCACTGGTTGCTTAGTAGCATGTTGTTTAATCTCTACATATTTGTGAATTTTCCAGCCTTCTTCTTATAATTGATTTCTAGTTTGTTACCACTATGGGTCAGAAATGATACTTGATATGATATCAGTCTTCTTGAATTTATTGAGACTTGTTTTGTGGCCTAATGTGTGATCTGGAGAATGTTCCAGGTGCACTTGAGAATAATGTGCATTCTGTTGCTTATGGATGGAATGTTCTATATAAATTAAGTCCATCTGGTCTAATGTATTGTTCAAGGTTACTGTTTCCTTACTGATTTTCTGTCTGGATGATCTATCCATTGATGTAAGTGGGGTATTAAAGTTCCCTACTATTATTGTATTGCTGTTAATTTCTCCCTTTAGGGCTATTAATATTTGATTTGTGTATTTAGGTGCTCCTATGTTGGGTATATAAATATTTACAAATGTTATGTCGTCTTAGTGGACTGATCCCTTTATCGTTATGTAATTCCCTTCTTTGTCTCTTATTACAGTCTTTGTTATAAATTGTGTTTTGTCTGATATAAGTATTGCTACCCCAGCTTTTTTTTTTCCCATTTGCATGGAATATATTTCTACATCCTTTCACTTTCATCTCTGTGTGTCCTTATATCTGAAATCAGTCTCTTGTAGGCAGCATATCAATTGTTCTTGTTTTTTTCCCCTTTGATCCACTCTATGTCTTTTGTTTAGAGAATTTAGTCCTTCTACATTTGAAGTAATTACTGATAAGTAGGTACTTATTGCCATTTTGGCAATTGTTTTCTGGTTGTTTTTCAGTAGGGTCTCTCTGTTTCTTTTTTTCTTTTCCTTTGTGATTTGATGACTTTTTTAGTGTTACCCTTAGATTTCTTTCTCTTTATATTTTGTGGATCTGCCAGAGGTGTTTCCTTGGTGGTTTCCATGACACTTACATATAACAACTTATTTTTATAACAGTCTATTTTAAGTTCATAACAACTTATGTTCAAGCACAGTCTAAACCTGTACATTTTTACTCCCCCTGCCCACATTTATGTTCTCACATTTTACATCTTTTTTATCTTGTATATCCCTATTTACTACTTTTGTTCTTTAACCTTTATGCTAACTTTATAGAGTCCACAACCATTCCTATATATTTACCTTCACTGGTGGGATTTATATGTTTATGTGTTTTCTTGTTACTAATTTAGTGCCCTTTCTTTTCAGCTTGAAGAAGTCCCTTTAATGTTTCTTTTAAGTGCGATTTAGAGGTGATGAAGTCTGTTAGCATTTGCTCGTAGGAAAACACTTTATCTGTCGTTCCGCTCTGAATGATCACTTTCCCAGGAACTTTTCTTGGTGGGAATTTTTTTCTTCCTCCTTTATAAATCAGTGAAGAACCGTTGTTATCTCCTTTCACTTAAATCAACAACTTTATATTTTTATCCTTGAAAAATACCAAGTATATTTCCAGTATTTTGCCAAAAGTGTGTTGCCCATTTCAAGCTCTTAGTTGTAAACTGGCTTTTGTATGAATGTACGATGGCATCAAAGTTAATATTCCAAACTGAGAATGAAGTTGGAACTTTAACAAAACATAATGGTGCTAATCGTTTGAGTGTAACTGATTCGTTCATGTACAGCGCATTGAGTTTTACAATTACAATAAATTGATTGTAATTGTTTATTTAACCATCATTCCCTGATATTGTTTATATTAAAGAAATTTGAAGGCAAAAATATTTGTGTTTTCTTTAGAAGAAAGAGTCATTTAAGTTCCTTTCATTTCTGGAACTGAGTCATTTCTAATAGCTAGTGACTTTTTTTTAAAAAGATTTATTTATTTATCTTAGAGAGCGCGAGTGCACCCGTGAGGGTGAGTCAGGGGAGGGGCAAAGGGAGAGGGAGAGAGATAATCCCAGCTGACTCCCTGCTGAGTGCGGCACCCAACCCAGGGCCCGATCCCATGACCCATGAGATCATGATCTGAGCCAAAATCAAGAGTTGGACGCTTAACTGACTGAGCCATCCAGGTGCCCCTAGCTAGTAACTGTTTTTATGGAAAATATATGATCACCCAACGAAGTACCAAATACTAGTAAGATAGCTAGTCTTGAGGACTGCAGTGTTGAGGAGGAGCTAGAGAAGAGGGCAGACGAAACCTTCATATCTGGTAATTATTCTAAGTGCTCAAGAAGAATGCCAAAGCACATAGTGTAATTTTGTGCTTTTTATAGATTCTCTAGGACATAAATGAAACAAACATGTGTTGAACACATGCTATAAACCAGGAATACCCTAGGACTTAGAGAAATCAAGATAAATCATTCTGTGTGTCCTCTAATCGCTAAGGGGGAGACAAGTTGATAAATCTTGTGGTAGATAAATAGTAATAACCCTAATTTGGATTGCTGCAAAATCCAGTGTGAAATAAAACAAATTCAACTTTTTTTTTATTCAAAACAAATGTTATCAACAAAAATCTTCTTAATTTAGCTTTTACAATTAAAATAGGAAAAAGATTAAAACACTGATTTTATTTATGGGAAAGTTAAAGTTGCTCCTAACTGTCGTTATGACACATTAACATAACGTCTCACGCCTTGCTGGCTTCTGAACGTGCCTGGAAGCTCACATCATGAAGGACCTTTATGTGGCTAAGAGCTCATGTTAGATTTCAGAGTCATTTTATTTCGTCTCAGGCTGTGTCCCCGCCTGGGTCGCATTGAGGGAGTATCCAGCGCTGGGATGGGGGCAGGGACGGGAAAGTTGTGGGTTCTTCAAAGCTGGCCATTCTTTCTTCCGTGTTTTTTTAAACTTTTTTTTTTTTTTTAAGATTTTATTTTTTTGACAGAGAGAGAGAGCACAAGTAGGGGAAGTAGACAGAGGGAGAAATAGGCTCCCCACGGAGCAGGGAGCCCGACTTGGGGCTCAATCCCAGGACCCCAGGATCATGACCTGAGCTGAAGGCAGACACTTAACCAACTGAGCCACCCAGGTGTCCCTGGTGGTTTTTTTAAACCCTGCTTTTAATCCTGCTTTGTGGTCCTTTTTTTCCTGGAGTTCAAAACTTCAACTCAGAATACTTAGTACCATCTGTAATTTCCAGCATTCCTCTTCAAAAATCTTGAATCTTGGGGAGGGAGGGGGCAGGCTCTACAAAGTGTGTCCTAAGTGTCCTTTGCATTCGTTACAGTCACGTGAGGCAGGACCTACTAACGGAGGAGATGTGTCATTTTGCATAACTCGAAATCAGCAGTAGGCACTCTTGTGTGATCCCTGCCCTACTTTACTCCCTAGAAACCTTCCCCTACAGCTCCTGTGATGGTAAATCTTCGGTGGCTTTGCTGGGGCTACTTGCATATGGAGAGTGTTTGTATTAGTACCTTATTCCAGTGTTAAGGCTTCTCGGATTTTATGAATCAGAGTTGCTGGCTCGTATTTTCCTTCCTGATTCCAGGGACTCAGGATAACTTGAAGACTTAAAATGAACTAGTACTCTCTCTAGTTTAATGTGCACATTGATACATAACTGAAAATGCACGTGTCCACTTACTTGTGTCTTTGTCATTTCTGTTAATAGGCAAACTGTGGACAAGAAGTATGAAGGTTGCTTACAACATTCTGCATAAATTAGGTACAAAGCAAGAGCCGATGGTACGACCTGGAGACCGGGTAAGTGCTCTTTACATTAATACACCTGCCAATACTTGGTCCTGCACAGCAAAGACACCTGCTGTCGGAAGTCCCAGAGTTCATTGTCTCCTATTGCTAATACTACTAAATCAGGCTTTGTTACATTAACTGTGGATTAGGTTAATTACACAAGATGTCATTGACCTTCACAACAACTCCTTGAGCTCAGCTGGAGTCCTTCTCATGTGTTACCAATGAAGACACTCAGACTGGCGAGGTAACCAGTAAGTGGCTCAGCCAGCGCTCACATCCATTCCTGTCAGAGCCCGGAGCCTGTGCTCCCAGCCACTGTCCTGTTGTCGCTAAGTTTAAACATACTCATGTCCTCTACCTGGGCAGGCAGGACAGTGATTGTAAAACTTTGCTTATGTTCATCAGTGAGCCGGACCGTCTCGGCAGCACGCCGCTCGTCCCATTCCTTTCCCCGTGTTAGATTTCTGGACAGAGGCTACTGTCTTTTATTGATAAGCAAATTTTTGTTCTTACTTGATAAATTACACAGAGTAGATATTAGTATTTCAATTGCAGTGTTATACCCAGAGCAGTTAATAACCTTGTCCAGCTTTATACCCCAATTTAGGTGTGGGGCTGGGCTTAGAACCACGTTTTCTTGCTTGCGAATGTTGCACCTTCTCCCCATTGGCTGTTTTGTACCTTAGACCCCAACACTGATTTATCCTACCTGTGCCCAAAGAACTCTAATTGAATTTCATAAAAACACCAGTGCTGAGCACCAAACCAACAAGAACACAAGCTGCAATGGACTTAAGATACTATAAAGAAATGGGCCCATTATGAGGAATTTTTTGAGAGATTGCCACAGTCCTTGTGTGGTGGACTGTGATTCTTGACACTTGTTTATTGAACAGGCTTGACCTCTGGCTTTTAAATGTCAGTTATAGGTCTTGCCACTTCCTGATCGTAAAGCTTACTACAAAGCAAGTCACCAACACGGTGCGGTACTGACGTAAAGACAGACATGCAGATGGTGGAGAAGAGCGCCCAGAGAGAAACCCTCGCGTGTGTGGGGGAATGGTTCTCATTAAGGGCGCTAGGATGTGAAACAGGGAAAGGACAGTCTCTTCAATGAATGGTGCTGGGAAACTGGGCACCCACAAGCAGAAGGAGAAAGTGGAACCATCGAGTAAAAAATTAACTCACAATGGATCAAAGACCTAAGAGCAAAAACTATAAAACTCTTAGAATAAATCATGGGGGAAAGCTTAATCACACAATTTGGCAGTCATTTCTTAGATGACACTGAAAACACAGGCAACAAAAATGAAAACATAAATTGGATATTATCAGAATAACTCCTGTGTGCCACAGGATGGGAGAAAACGTTTCTACAAATCCTGTATCTGGTAAGAGATTAGCATCCAGAATATGTAAACAAAACTCCTACAATTCAGCAACAACCAAAAAAAAAAAAGAGGGGAAGCAATGGGCAGAGAACTTGAATAGACATTTCCCCAGAGAAGCGTTGCAGGTGGCCAGCAAGCACCTGAAAAGAAGCTCCACGTGCCTGCTCATTCGGGGACAAGTACGTTAAAACCCCAGTGATTCAGCACGTCCCTTACAGTGGCAAGAATGAAGAAATTGGAACCTCAGCGCTGCCGGTAGGAAGGTCCCCTGGTGCAGCCACTGGGAAACAGTACGGTGGTGCCCTTGGAAGTTAACCACGGAATCACCCCTTGATCCAACGATTTCCCTTCCCTTCCAGAAGAATTGAAAGCAGGGGCTTGAACAGATATTTTACACTAGTATTCAGAGCAGCGTTATTCACAAAACCAGAAGGGGGAAGTAACTCAAGTGTCCGCAGACAGATGAACAGAGAAACAGAATGTGGTGTACACACACAGGAATATCAAGCAGTCTTAAAAAGAAAATAAATTCTGGCACACATTAACCCGTGGGTGGGCCTTGAGGGTTTTATGCTACATGAAATGAGGCAGCCACAAAGAACAGATATAGGAGGTGCTTAGGGCAGTTAACATCCTGGAGACAGAAGCGAGGTGGCTGTCAGGGGAGGAGGAGGGGCCGGGGGTTGAGGGGAGGAGCCGGGGGAGCTGAAGGAGGGGCTGGGGGGCTGGAGGCTTCAGTTGAGGAAGATGAGAATTCTGGGGCTGGTTCTGGATGGTGAGGGCTGCACAGCAGGACGGATATCCTTAATGTCCCCGTGCACTTGGAAATAGTCGAGACGCTCAGCTTTATGTAGATTCACCACAATAAAAAGTCCTGTGTAATGTGATATCTCCCTTAGCTCTGATTTGGTGGATAGTCTTAGTCTCTTAGTGCAGTGACTTTGTTAAAAGTTCTTGTGTAGCGTGGCTCCAGACTCTTGAAGTTCCTTGACAATAACAAGGACAAAGTAAAGCACCTCTGTTCAGCTAAGATGTTAGGAGGAATTTGGGGGGACAGTTTTGATAGAATAAACTGTGTAAGGAGGTTTTTTGGCAAAGGCTGATTTGAACTGTGTGAGGGGAACTACTTTTCTAAATTATCTTAAACAGTATTCATGTGCTTAGCATCTGGCACGTGCATATAGGTACTTTTATTAAATATACGTGACGATAGTAGTCAATTGATCGTAACCTTCTATTGCAGTAAACAGAATTTTTTACTCTTTCAAAATGAGTTTTGAATAAAACATGATTTTCCCCAGAATAATGAGCATATTCAGTCTTGGACATAAAACTTTACAGACATTTTTCACATGAGTGACCTTATTAACGTAGTTTGGGGAATTACCTTGGGCTTTTAAAAGGCATTTATAGGGGCGCCTGGGTGGCTCAGTCGTTAAGCGTCTGCCTTCGGCTCAGGTCATGGGTCCTGGGATGGAGTCCCCGTATTGGGGTCCCTGCTCGGCGGGAAGCCTGCTTCTCCCTCTCCCACTCCCCCTGCTTGTGTTCCTTCTCTCGCTGTGTCTCTCTCTGTCAAATAAATAAAATCTTAAAAATAAAAAAATAAAATAAATAAAAGGCATTTATATTCCTAAGCTGAATAGGGTTTTGAGAGGTGTAGTGAAAGCTTTGGAAGATACAAAGATGCATCCCGTATGAGGCCTGCCCTCAGGGAGCTTGCAGTATTAAAAAGTATATAGACACATTATTGATAATTAGCTTTTCTATAAATTGCGAAGTGATAAAGGTCCCCAAAAGAGGTGGTAAGAGTTGGAGACGGACAGTCTGGGAAGGGGAGAGAGCGAGCTTTTTCATTCGGGAGGAGCATCTGCGACCTGAGAAGTCTTCCCAGAGAGGAGAAACAAGTCAGGGGCTGTCGGCCAGGCGGCAGGCGAGTGTGGGAAGGAGCCGGGGCGGGAGAGTGTGTGGTGCGCAAACACAGGACAAGCCGGCTGTCTGCGCAGCCGCCCCAGACGCAGGGAGAGCCGAGCGTGGGCCGAGCAAGAGGAATCGCTTTAAGGAGATGAGACCTCAGCAGACGCTGGGATGTGCTTCTGCCTCTTGATCCGTGGCTGCTGCCGTGCCCTGTGGGTGATTAGGTCCAGTGAAATCACAGAGGAATACGTGAAGCAGTAAGCGAAGGGGAGCTGTGTGGGTTTATCAGAACGAGTCCGTTACTTTGATATTGTTGAGAGAGAATAATGAACAATGTTATATTCTGCTTTTATGTACTTTACACTGGCAGTAACATTTCCTCCTATTTAGCACAACCCTGCAAGGTTTATGTAGCATCGTGGGCATGAGCCGCAGTGACACAGCTGTGGGGATTTGAAATCCCAGGTCAGGTTGATCTTCGTCTGCGCAGAGCTGGGCTGGTAGCTAGCCCTGGGCCCCGGAAACAGGACTGGTCTGGCCTGGCAATGTCACCATGTTGCTCTCGGTTCTCTGCTCCTGGTGAGGACGCTGCCTCCCGGACAGGTGCTCCTGGAAGACCAGGAGCCCATATTTATCTGGTCCTCTATGCATAGGTGCAACCGTCAGTTTTGCATGGAAGCTCAGAGTCTTCTGCGGAAGCCTTGCAAACACTTACTTGATGAATGTTGTTGCTGTGCCGGATCCAGATCTAAAAGCATTGCTGTCGCCTCAGCCTGCCAGCTGAAGGCAGAACACCTGAGGCTATGATGGACCTCAGAGACATACAAAGAAACCGTCTTTTTCCTTCTGGAAGGTCCTGCTAATGGTTGCCTGCCCTCTGGCTGGGACAGAGTAAGTCGCTTCTCAGGGTTTCTCAAACACAGTTCATCAGTAGTGCAGAATGGCTTTTACTGGCCTTACAGGGTTATTGATCTTTGATTTCGCCGATTTTAATCAACTGCAGGAATGCCATATAGAAAGGAAACCTTCATTCAATCCCAAACTTAATTTTTTTTCTGCCAGCTGTGCTGTGTGGCTAAATTTCCAACATGGCCAAATTTAAGATGTGGCCGGTTCTGTTCCCAGCTGCCGTCTGAATCCCTTTGTGCCAATTTGCTTATTTAAATATCGAAATAGAACATCTTATCCAGCTGTTCATGGCAAAAATAATGACTTCTAGTTAGGACCTTATTCAAGAAAAAACTTGTTAAGTCCCTGAGTGAGGTGATGCAGAAGTGACCTGTGCACGTTAAATCATGGGGCCTGTGTGCTTATGAACACGCAGCAAGCAGTTGTCTGCAGGGAGGGACAGCAACACAGATGCGGGACCGGCGTGCAGGAGTGACGTGCGTTGGCCCAGGAGCAGGGTTCTGCAGAGCAGAGCGGGGAGTGCAGACAAGACGGCTACGCTTTGTCGCAAGGAGTCTTTCCGAACGAGGCGACAGGAAAGGCTGCTCCCTGAGGAGCTGCAGCGGCAGGACAGCAAGTTGGGTCCACGGTAGATGAGCTGCATGGCAGGCACTAGAATGAGCTCCATGCACACTTACGCTGGACGGTGTATTCGTGAAATACTAGGTGCCAACGTAAAGGAAAGTTTTGACAAATGTGCATAAAACATTAATGGTGGTGATAAAAATAAAACAGATATTATGTCATGTCTTTGCATCAAGTGTGAGAGAGAATGCTATCAGCTATATTTAAAATTCATCCCGATTTTAGGGCACATGTGGAAACACAGGTAAATAGGCAAGGGGAATGAAGTGCTTGATGCGAGGAAGAGTCATTATAAGCCATCCTGTAGAAAAGTTGTTCATCATTAAGACATGCTCAGGGCTATCAGCAGCATATTTTAAAAATCACACTACCCATGGGAATTAAAGTGACCCGGCTTTGATAACTCCGTGCTCACTGTGCCCTCCACTCGTGAGGCCGTGTGGGAAGTCAGTGGGTGGAACAAGGGGAGCAGGTGTTCACGGGAGCCTCCTCTGTGAGAGCAGCGCAGGTGGCTGACAGCCAGGCGGGCTAACGTTCACGCCTGCGTGCCGTGCACCGGGCCTCACACTGAGCTCTTACACCTTCTCAGGTGACCTTCCTCACAACACTAGGACGCAGGTAGGAAAACTAAGGCCCAGAGGGGTTAATCCTGGCCAGGGACCAGAACAGAGTCCTGTGTGGTCCGCGCACCCCCACCCCCGCTGTCAGCCTGCCCTCGTGGGGGGCACACTGGTGAAGGCCATGTGGACGCATGGGGAAGCCCCTGCTGAGCCCGTGAAAATGGTGAGAAATGAGGCAGTGTGTGCACGGTGATGGTTCACAGTGTGTAAAGGTGCATAGTAGGGAAGGCGATGCGCGAACCATCGGGATGGTTGTATTCTGGGGCAATGTTCTAGATGACCATCAGTAATGTGTTTGGCTTCCACATACATTAAAGGAAAAGTACATGGTATTTACTAAAATGTATTTTCCAGCACGCACCTAATTTTTGTTGCAATGTCTGTTCTTACTTAGAGCATGAGCCCTGTGGTTTGCGTCCCTCTTCAGTATTTCTGAGAGCCCGTGGCATCAATTGGATGGTTAATCCCCCCTGCTCTGTGTCCGTGCAGGTGGCGCTGGTGTTCCCCAACAATGACCCTGCTGCCTCGATGGTGGCCTTCTACGGCTGCCTGCTGGCCGAAGTTGTCCCCGTGCCCATTGAAGTCCCGCTCACGAGAAAGGTAAAGAGCGTGTTGTTACGTTCAAGCCTGTCACCCCGGGGGAGTGTCAGGCTCGGCTGCAGTGGAACGTTCTGTTTTGAGGTCAGAATGCATGGGTGGCTGTTTTTTAAATGGCTTTTCATCTCAGCAGGATGTGGATCGAGAAGCACAGAGATGTTTTTGTTATTTCTGAGGCTCTGTGCGGGTTTTCATCAGCTGTGTCAGTAGAGGGAACAGTCCCTGGCAAGCCCAGCTCAGCGGCAGGATTTAGCATGGGCAGCTTCTCGGAGGTGGAGTTCTGGGCGATGGTGACAGAGCGCTGATGCGGGCTGTGCAAGACGGTGGTGCAGGAAGATGCAGAGCTCACCTCTTCCCCCGGTCACTCCACATCTACAGCTCCATATGAAAAACCCCCTCTAAAAAAAGACCCAAAAACTAGCTGATCAGCTCCTTCACGTAAAGAGAGGGAGGTAGGAGAGGCAGAGATGCTGTCTCACCGAACGCCCCACCCCTGCACTGTGACCCACATGTGGGAGGGATCTCACAAATTTGGAACCCTCTCCCGAAGTGAGGGGTTCATGCTGAAGTCAGGCGTTCCAATCCCTGGAGCCTGCACCAGGGAGATGAGCCCCCAAAACACCTGCCTTTGTGTCCGGCACACACATGGAGCTCACGCTCAACTCACTTGTCCCAGGACCCTGTGCAGAAGGAGCGGTTTGAGAAGTGATCACACTGTGTGAAGAAGATCCATTTGCTAATCTTAGAGCATATGCCAGAGGGACAGGGTTGGGACTGTGTCTGGGGACGGCACAGACTGCTCCGTTGTTGCCTCTGCTTCTCCCTTGATACTGCCCTAAAGCCAGTGGGTGAGCTGCAGCCCCACACCATCCCACAGCCTTGCCAAAGCTGGCAGGTGCACGCCCAGCTCTGGGGGCTTGCATACCTGGGCCCCACAGGACTGTATCACCTGGACAAAGAGTTCCTGACAGATGGCCACCCCAGGGCACTGCACAGACAGCACACTGATGCACATGCCCAGTCTGTCTGTGATAAAGGGCTATTTACTTGTCCTGGGGCTGCAGCCTGAGGTGCCATTTTCAGGTTTGCCACAGATTTGGAGACTATGGAGGGACTCTCAGGGAACACAGATGGGGGACAACTTCGCACTCTCCCTTGACCTTGCTACAGCTCATTGGCATTTCCCAGAAAGGAGCTACACATGCATCTGGAGCCCTGATGTTTGCAACTATAGCCCGGGAGACCCCTCCAGACGTCCTGGTCCAGAGGCAAGCAGGGTTTATGAGTGTGGTCCCACAGGACTGTATATATTTGCATACATTAAAAGCTGCTGCCTGAGAGCCTGGCTTCCAGTCAGCCTGAAACTGGGTGCTCAACAGGATTCCTCCCTTTGGAACATGGATGGGTCTTGGCACAGCCTCAGCAATGGGAACATATCAGGAATAAATCTGGCTGCTTAGACAATCAGAAAAGTTCAAGAGACATCCAAGGGCAAGGGTGAATGAGAAGATTCATCGCTTGCATGGGCCACTCCTTCCAGACTGGGAGAGTTGGCTGCTGCACTTAATACAGAGAGTCAAACAAAACAAAGACACAGAGGACTTTGTTCCAGAAAAAAGAACAAGATAAAACCTTAATGAAATGGAGCTAAATAATTTACCTGATAAGTAGTTCAAAGTCATGGTCATAAAGACACTCACTGAACTCCGGAGAAGAACGGATGAACACAGTGAGAACTTCAACAAGGAGATGGCAAACAGAAGGAAATACCAGACAGAAGTCACAGAACTTAAGAATAACATAACTGAACTGAAGAATGCCCTGGAAATTTCCCATAGATGAAGCGGAAGAAAGCATCAGCTCTCAAGAAGACAGGACAGTAGACCTCACACAGAGCAGCAAAAAGAAACAAAAACAATTTATTTTAAGTTAAGATAGCTTGAGGAACAATATCAAGTGCAACAGCATTCACATTAGGGAGTCTCAGAAGGAGGGGAAAGAGAGAAAGGGGCAGAAAATGTAATTGAAGAAATAATAGCAGAAACATCCCTAACCTAGGGAAAGAAACAGATATCCAGGTCCAGGGAGCCTGGAGAGCTGACAGTAAGATGAATCCAAAAAATTCACAGCAAGACACATTATAATTAAAGTGTCAAACGTTAATGAGAGAATCATAAAAGCAGCAGGAGAAAAACAGCTTGTTACATACAAGGAAACTACTAAGACTCTCAACAGATTTTTCAGCAGAAACCTTGAGGGCCAGAAGAGAGCAGCAGGATATATTCAAAGTCCTGAAAAGAAAACCTACAACCAAGGCTACTCTGCCCAGCAAGGCTGTCAATCAGAATTGAAGGAGGGATAGTTTTCCAGACAAGCAAAACCTGAAGGAGTTCGTCACCACTAAACAGGCCCTATGAGAAATGTTAAGGGACTTCTTTAAGCTGAAGAGAGAGGGCATTGATTAGTAACAAGGAAATAAATGAGAGTATAAATCTTACTGGTAAAGGTCAATGTAGAGTAAAGGTAATGGATTAATTACTTAATAAAACTAAAACTAGAATGAAGGTTAAAAAGACAAAAGTAGTAAAAATCATGAAAACCACAATACTTAGTTAAGGGATACACAAAGTAAAAAGATGTAAGTGTAATATCAAAACATTAAATATGGGGAGGGCAGGTAAACTCAGTTTTAGAGTATGTTCAAACTTAAGTTGCTATCAGATTAAAATAGACTGAGATACACACACACACACAATTAAATATATGTGTACGTGTGTATATAGGCTGTTATATGTGAACCTTATGGTGACCAAAAACCGAATACCTCCAGTAGAGACACAAAATATAAAGGGAAAGGAATCGAAGTGTAACACTAAAGGAAGTCATCAAATCACAAAGGACAAAGAGAGGAAGAAGGGAACAGAGAGGCCCTACTGAAAAAAAGCCAGAAAATAATTAACAAAATGGCAATAAGTATCTGCTTATCAATACTTCAAATGTAGAAGGACTAAATTCTCTAACCAAGAGACCAAGAGTGAGTCAATGGGAAAAAAACAAGAGCAATCTATATGCTGCCTCCAAGAGGCTCACTTCAGATGTAAGGACACACAGAGGCTGAAAGTGAAGGGATGCAGAGAGATATTCCATGGAAGTGGAAATGAAAAGAAAGAGGAAGAGCTGTGTCTGGGGACTGTTAGTTACATCAGACAAAATAGACTTTACAACAAAGACTGTTAATAAGAGACAAAGAAGGGGATTACATAATGATAAAGGGATCAGTCCACAAAGAAGACATAACGTTTATAAAAACATTTATGTACCCAGCATAGGAGCACCTAAATATATAAAGCAAATATTAATAGACCTAAAGAGAGAAATGCAATACAGCAGTAGTAGGGGACTTTGATACCCCACTTACACCAATGGACTTAATTTATGTAGAACATTCCATTCGTAAGCAACAGAATATGCATTCTTCTCAAGGGCGTTTGGAATGTCCTCCAGGATAGATCACATGTTAAGCCACAAAGCAAGTCTCAGTAAATTTAAGAAGAGTGAAATCATATCAAGCATCTTTTCTGACCCACAGCAGTATGAAACTAGAAATCCATTACATGAAGAAAGCTGGAAAATTCACAAATATGTGGGGATTAAACAACATGCTACTGAACAGTGAGTCAACGAGGAAATCAAAGGAAAAGGAAAAAACAGCTTGAGATCAATTTAAACAAAAACAGAACATATAAAATCTAAATTCAGCAGAAGTGGTTCTAAGAAGGAAGGTCATAGTGATACAGGCCTACATTAGTCCATGATAAAAATCTCTAATAATCTAATTTTAAACCTCAAGGAAAAAGAGCAAATGAAGCCCAGAGATAGTAGAAGGAAGGAACAAAGATCATTGTGGGAATAAATGAAATAGGTACTATAAAGAATATAGGGGGGAAAAATTAATGACACTAAGAAGTTTGTTCTTTCAAAAGATAAACAAGATTGATCCACCTGTAGGTGGACTCAGCCAGAAAACAAGAGAACAGGACTCAAATATAATCAGAAATGAAACAGAAGTTACAGCCAACACCACAGAAATACAAAGGGTTATAAGAGACTACTGTGAACAACTATATGCCAAAAATTGAACCCCAATCCCTATATACATTCACTTTCCAAGGCTGAATCATGAAGAAGTAGAATACCTGAATACTGGTTAGTAGTAAGGAGATTGACTCTGATCAGAAACCTCCAGCAAACAGAAGTCAAGGACCAGATGGCTTCCCTGGTGAATTCCACCAAACATTCAAACAGATTTAATACCTCCCCTTCTCCATCTCTTCCAAAACATTGAGAGGAAGGGAAGCTTCCAAACTCATCTTACAGGGCAGCATTACCCTGATACCAGTACCAGACCAGGATGCCGTAAGTAAATAAAATTACAGGCCAATATCCCTAATGAGCATAGATGCAAAAACCCTCAACAAAATATTAGCAAACAGAGTTCAATAATACATTAAAAGGATCATATTCCATTATATAGTGGAATATATTTCAGGAATGCATGGATGGGCCAACACTCACAAATCAGTCAATGTGATACACTACATTGACAAAATGAAAGTTAGTCATATGATCATAGATGCAGAAAAAGCATTGGCAACTTTCAAATTTTATTTTTTTTATGTTTTTATTTAAATTCCTGCTAGTTAACATGCAGAGTTATATTACTTTCAGGTATACAGTGTAGTGATTCAACAGTTCCATACAACACCTGGTGCTCATCAAAGCAAGTGCACTCCTTCATCCCCATCACCTGTCTCACCTGTACCCCCAGCCCCCTCCCCTCTGGTGACCATCAGTCTGTTCTCTATAGTTAAAAGAGTCCATTTCTTGGTTTGCCTCTTTCCCCCCATTTGGTCATTTGTTTCTTAAATTCCACGTGTGATTGAAATCAGATGGTATTTGTCTTTCTTTGACTTATTTCACTTAGCATAATACTCTGTAGTTCC